TCACCGTTCGGCGTTGAGCGAGATCATCTCACAATTGCCGGGTTCCCTATCCGAAGCAGGCAGGGAAAGTTCCAGTGTTCTACTACACTCCCCTCCCGGCATCCAAACTTCTGGCTCGCATTCCTTTCGTCAACGTCGTTGCACCTCATCTCTCCGAAACGCCGGGCCCCTCTCAACACATGTTTGCTTTGACCTCCGATGAATAGAAACCCTAAATGATCCACTTCCCACACGGCCCGGTCTCGGCCGCCGTTGACTTTCCCGCTTCCGGCTTCCAACCCCCGCGTGGTTTGTCCTGCTTGATTTCTCCGATGCCCGCTGTGGTAGTTTCGAGGATTCTTTTCTGGAATGATATAAGTCCACAAAACATTGGACGAACACAAACAAACAAAGATACACTTTAGTTTGGTTGTGAGCGAAGTGTTTCGGCTCTCACATCGAATTTTCGAGACCCTTGGCAAGAGGAAATACAAACATCATGTCCTTCACAGGCTCGAGCCTGTTGGAAGCGAGGCTACACCAAACGATGACGAGAAATCTCACTTAACCCCATCGACATGGAGTGCTCTGACCTATTAGGCAATCTTCAATATCTAATGGCGCCCACAGCGCAGTCATTCAATCTAAACACACAGCCCTATAGATATTTGTGAGACAGGCCGGACAGGCTACCTACTTCCGGCGGCTCAGTAAGACCAGGTGGCTAGGTATGCTCGTTCATGCAGATTTGCTTACACCATCACACTGTGCGACCCTAGCCTCTGTCAAGATCCTCCGATAAACCTACTCTTTGGTTGATGCAGCCTTGACGGTGACCGTCAAGCCATCTCCTCCCGCTTTGACCTGGCGAACCATTGCCTGGAACTGGCCCTCATTCGCCAAATCCTTCATCACAATCTCTCTTGTCCTCTGAAGACCCTCCAACTCATCGAGTCTCTCTAAGCTGGCTTCAAGAAGCTCATCGAATCCTTCCTGCGCGCATATCTCCTTGAAGGCGTTGTGCATCGGCACAGAGTCCGCCCGAACCATGGAATTGGAATCGATTGAGAAGATGTTGAAGTGGTCATGCTTCTGGATAAAGTCGAATCTCGTCATGAGATGTCTTGCCTCGTGGAGAGGCATCTCCGGCAGCTTTCCGGCCAGGAGCTCTTCTGGCTTCATGTCCTTCTCCTTCTCAATCAACGCCTTGGCCAGTAAGAACGCCGTGGTGGCGTGGTCTTGTTGATCCTCGGCATCGGGATCCATGTCGGCGCCCAACATCCAGCACTGGCCTAGGAGCCAGCGTTTTTCCCTGTCACAAATGAACTTACAGGCTGCGAGCATGTCTTTTGATCTCGCAACGTGGTCAAGGAACCTGACGCGCCCGCCAACCAACTTGTAGACTTGGTTCAAGATATCGCTGGACACATCCTCCTTGAAGACCTTTTGCCGGAATTCGTGAAGTGCTTCAACAGCAGGATCGCGGGGCACATCGCGGACGTCTGTCACGGATATCCGCGTGGCCTGCCATTTGAGGTGCTCAGTGGTACTGTGGTCGTCGCTGGTGAACACCACAGTGACGAGGCGACTTGCCGCCCACATCTCCGCCCGCTGTTGGATCAACTCCAGCAGCTCGCGTCCGTCGTCGTCGTCTCGGAGTACGTGGACGCGATTGATGATCAAGACGAGCGGCTTCCGGATGTGTCTCTGCCGCATCAGAGCCACTTTTTCCATCTTGTTGAAGGCTCTTTCAATGTCCAGGATGGCGGTCGAATCGCGAGGGCCCTTGAAGCTGAACAAGCTTCCGATATAGTCCTCGTGGAACTCAAAGTCGAGAGCTTTTCCCAGGCGGAGACGGAAGACTTCGAGATCGCTATGGGCTTCGAGCATGGCGATCCCCGAGCCGTTGACCCTGCGCATCGCCTTGAGGATCATTGAGCTCTTCCCCGTACCCTTCTCTCCCGTGATTAAGTGATACTGACCTCGGATGGACCCGTCAATGATGCCGTCAATGTGTTCCTGCTCAGCCCGAGGGATCCATTCGTTCTCACCCTCCAAGCCCGTGAAGTCATCAATAGTATGGAGCTTATGAGGAGCCACGTGGCGTCCTAGAGCTGTCAGCTCTGGTGTCGAGAAGCCAACGCCAAAAGCATTGTCCATCTTCCGCAGGACAAGGTCCTTGTAGTAGGCGTGATAGGAGTAGCCAGCCAGACCGAGGACCGCGATGGAGCCAAAGGCCGTCGCGCTGCCCTCGACGACCCTCCAGAAGGTAGGTTTCCAGCCATGGGGTGAGTCTTCAGGTTCACCCTTTTCGTGCCGTTGCTTATCGTAAGAGGAGCCGTACGTCGGACCTTGTTGCTCCACGACGATGAAGCGGGTCCGCGTATGGGCTCTGCTAGATGCCTGGTAGGCCTGACCATCGATGAAGGCATGAGATTAGCTAGATGCCACGTGAGATAGTTTTGGCGGATGTGCTTACCCTCCATTGTTTCGAGAGAAGGTAGCGTCTAGCCATCCGTGAGTTGATGTCGTATTTCAGGCTGGAGCAACGGGATCTCACGCGTTGTCACGCGGAGGTGTCACGAAGGTGTCACGGAGGAACTTGGCACTAAGAACGGTGGCTGTTTCCAGAATCCACGCTTTCTCATCAATGGTCCCAAAGACACACACGGACGTCGACCTGCTTTGAGCAGATGTCGGGGTCGACACAGGTTCCAGGCCTTTCCAAGAGAAGTCTTCCGAATTTCTTGGCAAAGCATGCGCGTCCTGCGATGGACTTTGGGCCAAATGGCCGTTTGTGTCGTCAAAAAGGACGGAAGGTGCAGAGGCACGTTGACGGGGCCCGCCAATTTGGATCAGGGCGATGATGTAGAACCTTAACGGGACGTGGCCTGGATATAGTGGCGGAGTGGTAGAGGCTACCCATGGGCGGGTTCATGCGACAAGCCAAGTAATTACAGGGACCTCCCGCGGACCGCCTCCTGGAACGTCTATCGTTAGCGAGGATCCATAAACCCCGTCTTCGCCATCCAGCTTATGAATGAAGAACACCCGACGGGATATCCCATCAACTGCAAATACGTACTGTTTTGGTTTTCATCTTGGGTGACTGTTGTTTCCGTCAGTTTGTGAAGGCATTTCTGTCTTTCATCTTCAATTTGAAGAAATGCTATGCGCCAAAATTTATGGATCATAGTGAACCCGCCTTGAAGGTGAAACTTGCTTACACGTAAAATCAAGACTACGCATCGTTGTCGAAGGGGAGTTGGGCGGTGAAGCTTCAGATATATGATGCTCACTCTAGCATTGACATATTACATAACTGGAGATCAAATCCTACCGATAGCGGTTGGCTGTCAGTTTAATGTGAGATATTGACATGTTGACAACAAGCCAATTCTTAGTTAACAACCACCCTATGACAAAACTTCGGCTATCGCAGGTATCAAGAATGAACACAGAAACTTCTACCACAGATCTAAATATATGGATGGGGTTCCATCGTGAATATGTCATTGGTGAAAGCACTAATGTCCTGGTAAAGATCAAAATAGAGCCCTCGGACAGTGGAAGGACTGGCTGCCGTGGCGTCGTCACCAGCTATCCGCAGGGAAATCCTCAATCACGCACCCAGAGTTCTGATAACATCTGCAAGCTAAAGAGCTCTATGACGGTGTGATTTAAATGGGCTTTCTGCAATCAGGGGCTTTGTTCCAGCTGATTGCAGACGGTTTCTTATATCCGCTTGGCGATACGTTACACGTAAGCTTCCTGAAAGCAAACTCCCCAGGAGGGCAGCCGTCAAGGTCATTTAATACGACACATCAGTCACAATACGAACAATTCCCTAGAAGACAGCGGCATCAGAGTTCACCAATATTCAACTTCTTGAAGCTTGTAGCTTGTGAGCAAGTGATGGTTCATGATTCAACAGTTTCTTTCGAATAGATGTTACAGAGAACTGGGTTTTGTGAGGGTAAGTCAGGTTTTTATCGTTGTTAAAATTATCTAGGTAAATATATCGTGGAATATTTGCGTTAGTCAATGGGAACGCCTACAGCTGATGCTATACTACGAACTGCCCTAGTCATCATCTCTACCTCGGCTGTTGCCCCGGGAAGTGTTCCACGATCAAGACAACGTCAATGTTAATAATTTGTTGTCGCAAGAAATGTTCATCAAAACTCCACGATAACTGATATTCGAGGAGAACACAAGCTCAGAGCACTTAATGCTTCTTGATAGAGACTCACTATGTGTCTATGATATTTCGGAAGGTGGTGCAAACATACTGAAGTCACAAAGGTTACAGGCGTACTGAACGTGGTCGCAGAATCTCGATTCATGAATACGCAGAGGCTTCAGCTGTAAGGAAATCCACCGCGGAAAATGACTCTCACCCGAGGAACCGATTGACTCTTAACCTTTACCGTCACTTGCCGGGCCTGTAAAGTAGGCATACGCGTACAAGACAGAAACTAGGCCTGGTGGAATCTCTGTGTACCCCTAGCTCCCGAGATCAAGGTTGGTTAGGTGCTCCTGGCATGTCGGTGGCTATGACGCGAGACACGGCTGGACCACCGAGGGCGCGATAACGTCCGCAATGCAAACGTCCACGTTGAATATTTCTGGCTACTCACCCGAGACAAATTGAATCGGTAGAGACTAGCAACGCCACAAAGGGAACCGCCGACGGGTTGCTAATCCATAATCCATTAATCCACATAGACCCCCCCACATGGCATTACGCTTGATTTTATCTTTAACCCTTGGCTTAATTACCCCTTAAAAGGTCCGAACCATTCGGAAAGGAGAGGGTGATTTGATTGAGGTCTCTGTGATTCGCCGGCCGTTTCCCCGCAAAGTAGCAGCGTCGCACTAAGATCTGCCCTCCGCCGCCCAAGCTCCCACATACCGGGGCTTGGCATCCGACTACAGCCTCAATCCCTCCGGTAGACGGTGCGTGACTGCAAGTCGATGTGAAAACCCATGCGTTGGACCGAGGACTGATGACGAGTCACTCATACGTACGCAGTTTGCAAAAGATTGCGATGTTGTTGTTTGCCCTTGTTGTGTGATTCGGAGGCGTGAACGATCAAGCGTGACGATATCTTGTTCCCTCCCGGAGATGGCATACATAAAGACGTTGAGCCATGGCGAAATTCAACAGTTCTTGTTTCTTTTCTCACCACCATCAGTCATTCCAGGCACTTCTCCTTCACTTCTTCACTTGAGCAAGACCTTGAGAACTTACATTCTTTTTTCACTTCACTTTCGCTATTTTCAACTTTGACATCTCGATTCAACAAAAAATGGTTACCGTTTCCCGCCTCGCGTTGGCGGCCATCGCCCTCACCGGTGTTACTGCGCACCCAGGAGAGAAGCATGATCCTCACGTCCATAAGCGCGAGATGGCCCTGCGCCGATCTGTTGCCGCCAGCACCCGCCGGGCTCTCGACGCCTGTGCCGGCTCGGCTGCCGACATCGCCCTCAAGCAGCGTGCTATCCAACGTCGCGAGGCCAAGCTCAAGGAGCTCCGCGCCAAGAGAGCCATTTCTGCGACTGGTGAGATTCCACGGGAAAATCTTTCAAAATTCCTGGCTGACATGTGATTCTTTAGCTCCGATCCGCCGCCGTGCTGAGAGTGACTTGACCACCTGGGCAGCTGTCGACCACAAGTCTTCCGCTGGATACACTCTCGATACCGACCCTGCCACTCTCTTCGCCCAGAACACCACCTGCGTCGTCGTTCCCGAGACCACGATTGGTCCCTACTGGGTTGCCGGCGAGTTGATCCGCAGCGAGATGACTGATGGACAGTCCGGCGTGCCTCTGCATCTCGACGTCCAATTTGTCGACGTCTCCACCTGCGCGGGTGTGCCCGAGATCCTGATCGACGCTTGGCACTGCAATGCGACGGGTGTGTACTCTGGTGTCTCTGCCACCGGCCAGGGCGGTCTGAACTCGACCTTTGGCCGCGGCGTGCAGCAGACCGACGACGATGGAGTTGTCCAGTTCGATACCATGTTCCCGGGCCACTACACCGGCCGTGCTACCCACATCCACGTCAAGACGACGACGGGCGCCACTGTCCTGGACAACGACACCTACGTCGACGGCGTGACTAACCACGTCGGCCAGCTTTTCTTCGACCAGACCCTCATCTCGGAAGTCGAGGCTGTCGCGCCTTACAACACCAACACGCAGGAGCTGACTCTCAACTCTGGTGACAGCATCGCCTTTGGTGAAGCGACTGCGGACTACGACCCCTTTGTCCAGTACGTCCTGCTCGGTGACGACATCTCCGAGGGTGTCTTGGCCTGGATCACCGTTGGATACAACACCACCGCCGACTACTCCAGCTCTGCTAGCGCCGCTGCCCACTACTATGCCGACGGTGGTGTCGATACCTCTTCCGGAAACGGCGGCGGTGGCCCCGGAGGTGCCGGTGGTCCTCCCAGCGGTACTTTCCCCAGCGGTGCCGGTCCCAGTGGTGCTCCCCCGAGCGGTGCTGCTTCTGGCGTTCCCCCTGCTACCTCTGCTACTTCTGCTGCCGCTTCCACCACCACGACCGCTGCTTCCAAGGGTGGCTGTGCGCGCAAGCGTCACTTGTAAAACTTGGTGTGAAGAATGAAGTCTCAAAAGGTGGCGAGTGACTCTGTCGGCGATATCATATTGGTGTCTGCCGTCAAGGGACGTTGAAAGAGTCATTCGAGGGTTGATGCGGATTGATGGTTATTGCTTTCTGAAAGTTGAGTTTTGGCGAGAATTTTTGTTTGTACTTTACCAGTAAGATGGAGGAAAAGGCGGTAGAGATCAGTATGAATCTTGCCTGACGCCGTCCTGTTTGATTTATCGAATCGATTGAATGCGAGTTCTCTAGCATTGGAAAAGCCCACAATCAGCTTTGAATAACAAACGGCTACACTATCCAAACATTTGACTTTTCGCTTCCAAAGTTCCGAGTTCCTCATTAATCATCTTGAAATACATGTGTGGTTGAAGGGGAGTTGTGAAAGACAGCAATATCCGTGCTCGTACTTTCCGTTGCATGGATGCTTGGCTCACTCGCGCTGGTAGCCATCGTAGACATTGTTCAGCTATCGCGATACTGACGCACGAACTCATGCAGTTGCACAAGAGAATCGTGTCCAACTTTCTGCATGTACGCAGAACTCTTGTCTCCCGAGATGGAGACGTGAACGAGCTTTCTTGCTATCCAGCACAGCTCGCTATTGTACCGGATCATGCCTGCTTTTTCGAAAATGGCGGGCTCCATGCGACCCCTGATCGTGTCCCACATGACTTCCCACCTGGAAACGGCACGCAATAGGGCTGGTGCACACGCAGGTAAGACGCCCATGAGATTGGCCGATGCCAACATACCGTTAAGTGCTATTGTCATCAGATCCGTCCACTTCTTGCGTATGCTTGAATCCAAACGAGGCAAAGGGGCCGAACATACCGAAAATTAACAATTGTAGGTCGGATCCGCTGATATCTTGGAACGGGAAGCTCCCCATGCCGACCCAGTTCTCAGCCATCAGCGCGTCGGTGCATTGTTTGACGGAACAAATCCGCCTAGAACCGTCGGCCCCGAGAGCGTTGGCCGCTTCATAGTACTCCGCCGCGTCTTTAGCATCCCAAAGTTCCAACGGACTTGGCAGATCACAAGTCAGCTCTGCAGGCGTCATCGATGGCGGCGTATTGAACATGCCGCATTGCTGCCAGTCTCCTAACGCCGTCCAAATGGCTAGTCTGCACACCTGTCAGCAACGATGTGTCTACTGAGGGGGAGGAAAAGGCTTACCTGATTTTTGACTCATTGCGCACGAATTCTTCATATTGGAATATGGGAGCATGTTTGGTCTGTGCTAGACCGAGAACCCGTACGGCCGATACAAGCTGCGGGAGTCGCTGGGTTCTGTTCTTCCGCCGCGATGCTACGTCGTTTCGGAAGAACTGAACAGAGTGGATCATGAGGGCTGCCTGTAGTGTCTCTTCAAGCTCATGGGTGAACTCTGGCGCTGAGCCTGGGGGCATCAGACGCTCAAGGCAGCGAAAAATGTATTCCTCGGCAAGCGTGAGATAGCCACGGGCTGCGAGGGCATCGTCGCTTGGGGGTGATCTCAGAGACCCAGAGAGTCCAACGGCCAAGAGCAGCTGTTTGGTTGTATAGTCACTGCCAAAGTCTGGCCGATGAACGATGGGAAAGTCGAGGTGACTGACTCGGAAGTAGGTCGCAGCAAATTGGCACAGATTGCCTGCCGAGAACACCGAGTTTGCCGTGTCAAGATCAAAGGTGCCGTCATACCATTGATTTGTGGCAACCAGAGTATGATGAAGTTCTTGCAATCCCGAGATTATTTCGGCTGATCGCGGTTCTAGGCTTTCAGGCACAAGAAACGACATCCTCGTGTTGGATAGTATGTTTTCTGACAAGACGTCCAAGGAATTGAAGTCTATCAGCTCGGGAGCGAATGTTGATGCAAACCCATAAGGGAGGAACGTGAAGTCATCATCGATCAGCATGTTTGGAGGGTATTGCGTGGGCACATGCATGTCCTTCATTGTTGTATCGATTCCATCGCCCTCGGTTCTCGCAGCTGCTTCACTGGCGAGGAACTCGAGTATGTTCTCCGAGTTGGGATTTGTCAGACCGAGAAGGAAAGCGACTGTGATTTTGGTGCGGTCCTTGTCATTATCAGGTGTGCCTACCGCGGTTGTGGCCAATGATGAGGATGGTGTGGATGAGGATGCATCTGTGATCACGGATGTGCTCTCTTCCAACCGGTGATATGTGCATTGGAGCTTGCGAGAGACGCATCGCACGCAGGGATCAGAAGTATCGCATGACTGCTTGCTCTGAAAGCAGGCGTCGCATGCGCGGGGTTTCTGGCCGCGCTTGAGGTTTGGAACGGTTTCTTGGTCTTGTTTCTTGGGGCAGTGGATTGTGTGCTTACGGCACACATCTCTGTCACGCTTTAGTGTGATTTTCGGCATGGATGTGCGCAAGATGATACGAACCGTCTGGCGAACGCCTTTTCGCAGTACAGGCACTTGTACCTAGCGGATTCTACGTCTGCGAGGTTGTGAGTACCGAGGTCAAAAGAAAAATCCCGAAGAAGTCAATCAAACGCTAAAATGTAGCTCGGGCTGGTTGATATACTACGCAAAAGCTTGATTGAGATGAGGCAAGGTGAATCCTGTCACGTTGAATGCTGGAACGAACTGACAATACATTGATAACGACAACCGATAAATCCGGGCAGTCATCACTGTCAGGCGGGAAGTAGGCGAGATCGCCCGGAACAGAACAGGCTGTAGTCCCAAAAGGGCAAAATATTGACACAAAAGAAGAAATACGGAAAGGATGAAAAAACGAAGAGAGGAAACAAGGAGACTGACTACCTACGCGTGGATTCGTGCCGGCGTAGATGAGCACTTCTTTGATACTGCTTCCCGCAAATAGCACATGTATGGCCACCGGTTGAAGGAGCGGCCATGGCGGGTCCGGCTGTCTACCGGCGGCGTAGTTGAAGAATCCCAGTAGTGATAGCGGCGGGCTATTCGAATTGGGCTTAGGATTCTCAGTAATCAGGTCGCGTTGGTTGGCAGTGGGCTTGGATGAACGACAGAGAATGTGAAGATGGTGGGTTTAAGCCGATGAACGCGTTCGGAATGACGCGGGATGGCAGGATGGAGACCCACAAGGCCGCGACAAGGGGCTTGAGGGCAGTCTGTATGTATGTATCTATGCGACCGGAGAAATCCCACCCCCGGGATCTCGGTGAGCCCCGGTTGTCCCGCCCTGAGGTCAGGTGGAATCACTATCCCGATTGGGACAGAACCCTCGCTGTCGCAGCCCCACAATCCACCTTAGTGGATCCCTTGGCGAATCACAGCGTCTTCGGCCTTGGCACAAAATAAAGGGAAAGAGGCTACTCCCCCAACTTCAATCTGCATTTCGACCTCTTCCTTCCTCAACTTCTCACCATCATCAACGTCAACTGCAGCACCCGGAAACCCCCGCAATATGAATTTTCTCCTACAACCATAGTATCATAGCCATATGTATCAAGTGAAACAAGTCACTTCATCAGTAGCACCTTTTGCACTAGGAACCTCTTTAAGATACCACACCCTGCACCCACTTTGCGGCTACCGCAATATAATGCATCGATGGGGGGTTTCCGTGATTCGAATACCGTATAAAATGACCAATCTTCTTGATGTTTGACGCATTACTCTCGGCCTCCGGTGGCCTGTTATAATGTCCGAGGCTGCGCTCTTTCTTGCAAATGATTGAATTGACCTATCTGATACCTACCCTTCTGCCTTGCTTAGCTTTCCCTCTGCTCGATGATCGATCTTGACCGACCCTATTGAATCGTATAAGATGTCCAGCCTTTGTAAGTCCGTTCTATCTCCAATACTTCCTCGGGCTCTCAGGGTCCTCAGTCGTCAACGGCCACTTCTCTCGCACACGCATGGTCTTAATACCATGGCTCACCATCTCACTAGCTGTTTTGCGGTATCATCCGCTGAGACTGGCACCTCGAGCACAAGTTTATGCCCTTCATCTTTCATCTACATCATCTATACTTGGACCTCAGCATCATCGCCATCAGAGCCATGCGAGATCACACTCTACGAAAACTAGCATCGTGCCACAGAACACTCTCCCCTTTGACAGCCAAATCATCAAACCACCATCCAACGCCGTCGAACATGTGTTGTAAGTCCATCAGAACATCACGTCTCGACACTCCCATCTCGACACTCCCATCACTGGCTAACAGCAATAACAGAACGACCTTGGATAGCATCGTCAATTGGGCCCGCCAGGGTTCCTTCTGGCCCTTGACCTTTGGTCTAGCCTGCTGCGGTATAGAGATGATGCATGTATCCATGCCCCGCTACGACCAGGATCGTCTCGGCATCATCTTCCGCGCCTCACCTCGACAAGCGGATGTTATGATCGTTGCTGGCACGGTCACGAACAAGATGGCACCTGCTGTTCGACAATGCTACGACCAGATGCCCGACCCGAAATGGGTTATCAGCATGGGCAGTTGTGCGAATGGAGGTGGTTACTACCACTACAGCTACTCAGTCGTCAGGGGAGTGGATCGGATTGTACCCGTCGACATCTACGTGCCCGGATGCCCACCCACTGCAGAGGCTCTACTACATGGCGTGTTTCTCTTACAGGCAAAGCAGAGAAGGACGAAGATCACGAGAATGTGGTATCGGAAGTAGGCTTATGGCTGATGTCATGTCCTTTACAGAGTAGTACATGTATACCATCCCTGTTCCTCTCTCGATCGCAACCTCCCCATCTCTCATGACAGCCATCGTGCTGGCTTGTTGGATCTGTCTTTCATTTGTCCTGCCTAGCAGAATCCAGGACGCATTTGATCACAGCCTGCAGCGATTCAGATTTTCACTTCGCACAATTCCTTAGACTCAACTTGAAGCCTTACACCTTGGCTGCGCAACATGGAGCTGAGTGCCGGGCAAGATATAAGATCGTCAATCCATGATGAGGCTGACAATTATCCTCAACTAGCAACGGGAATCTAAGGCAGAGTGACCACCCGGCCTTATATCACCCGACCTGCTGTCAGCTTACTTGCACTCTGATTGCCAAGACGCTTCGCAGGCCGTCCCCCACACTACGCGCACAATCAGTTGCCCGACGTTGCACATTTTGACTCCTGTCAGCATAACGGTTTCCCCAGCTGCCTGATTGAGCTAAGGCTAGTTCTCGTAGAGACTGCAAACTAAGCTGATTTGACTGCGCCGCTGCATTGCGTCTGGCAATGAATTCCACCTCTGCACCGAGAGGGGTTCGCGAGGCAAAAGCTCTATGCCAAGAACGACGCCCATATCAGAAAATATATTTAAATTCCCCAATATCGCATCAGGGAATACTGATCTTGCTCAGTGTATTGAACGGCTTCACTGCGCCGTCGACCGCCAACATGAAGGTTCAAACCCCCAGAGCCCTGGCGATTTGGTTCTGCGTGTCGCTCGCATGTACGGCCCTCGGAGAACGACTCCCTGATCCTACGGGAGGATACAACGTCGGCGCTCAGCGTTTCGTCGTCCCCTTCTTGGAAGATAATGATGTCGTGTGGCCGAACGGTGTTTCGACTGAGTACCTCGTCACGCTGTACTATCCTACCGAAGACGAGAAGCCTTGCCCAAAGCCGTACCTCGAACCCGAGCTTGCCGAATTATACACCGACCTGTGGAGCTACAATATTTCTCACTTGACGTCAACGCTGAGATGGAACGCGACTTATCTGAATGAAGAGAGCGGCCCAACACTTCTTTTCGGACCTGGCGGTTGGGGTGTTCCGACGGATGGCGACTACATAATCATCTCGGAACTGATATCACATGGTAAGCTCGCGATCCCTCAATGTGTCGCTGCTCAGAACTCCAGACTAACTTTGCATCATCTGAAGGATATGTCGTTGCTGCGTTTGATCACGTTTATGAGCAGCCTTTTTTGCGGTACCCCAATCGCACGGGCGTCTACGGACTGCCACCGAATTTCAGCAATTATTCCCTTGCCTGGGTAAAGGACTTGCATGCCGTCAGGGTCAGACAGCAGCTGCACTTCATCGACTACTTCCCCTCACTCGTGGCAAGGCTTGAAGCTCCCTTTAGGACCACCGACTTCGGCACATTCGGGATATCGTTAGGAGGCTCTGCTGCTCTCACCGTAGCTCTCGAGAGCGATGCAGTAGCAGCCGCTATAAACGTCGACGGTGCCAACTGGGGTCGATTGAACAGCACATCGGACTCGGATCTCAAGAAACCCTCGATGATTCTAGGCTTTCAGGGCCACAACGCGAATTCGGACCGCACCTGGAACAACTACCGAGCCTGGCAGACTGGCTGGTGGCGTCTGTTCTCGGTGGATGGAAGCTTGCATCCTGACTGGTCTGACCTGGGGTTCTGGAAGACTTTCGGCACGACACGTACACAGGGGCCAATTGACGGAAGGAGAATGGTCCATATCTCAAGGACGTTCATTCGGGCCTTTTTTGACGACATCTTGCGTCATAATGACCAGCCTCTTTTGGACAGCCCTTCTGAAGACTTCACTGAAGTGCATTGGGACGAAGTTCACAATGGACCATGAATCCAGTGGGTTTTCAAACTGTACATGGAAAGATTGATAATGAATACACCCACCGAGGTTTTGCATTAGAAGACGTATCGATTGTCAGCGAAGGGCATCATAGCTCTCCAGCCTTTTGCCAGCATGATTGCGAATATCAGCATACACAGCGATTTAGCTTTGGTCTTAGGGATTGCCTTGGGAAAAGCAAACGGATAGTCTTGGGCTTATCGGAGACGTGTCGATTTCGAATTTCAATCTTGCTTGGGCAGAGATGCACATAATTCCTGCCCTCATACATTTACTATTAAGACTTAGAGAGGATTACACCCATGCCTACTGTCGTTTGGTTGATGTTGGAACAAAGACACTGTAATCCACCTTCTGGCCAATCGGTTCGTATCTCCACCTTCCAACGTACCCGTTGAAGGAGCCATTCCCACCATTTGTAGTAGCATAGACACCGAGCAAACCACCGGTTGTAGCTCCATCTCCGGCCAACAACGCGTTATTGAAGACCCAGAGCGACTGCTCAGAACCTACATGATCTGCCGAGCTTCCAAAGAACTCATTGTGAGTCTCATTCCTCGGAGAGATCCTAATCCTAATAGCTCGGCCCAACAGTTCTTGCGGAATTGGTACGATCTTTGGATCAGGAGCTGTTGAGTTGTTGATTGAACGAGCCCTGAGTTGGAAGTAAGGCTCGAGCTCGTCTCCCTTGTCAGACACAGTGGCTTGGTAAATGATACCGAGATCGACATGCTGATTAGGATTGACATAATTGGAGACTCCGACTTCGTCACCGACAGTCTTTCCAAAACCTAACTCGATATCAACAGTAAAGTTGAAGAAAGTGTGTTCCTGCCGTCGAAAGACAGATGTGACACCCTCAGTGGTGACATTGAAGACAGCATCTCTTGTGAGATTAGTGCGAGAGGCAGTCATCTGAAGAGCATTCTCATGACCCTGGGGAGATACGGTGAAGTATGAGGCATTGAATGGAGCTCTCCAATAGACCCAATGCGAGGGAATCGTGGACCCCGGCTTGAAATCTTCCACATCTGCTTCTCCAACAAGAGGGCCAACTCCTCGTTGAACAGAGGACTTGTTGGGCAACGGTCCGCTCATGTTTCCGCGAACTGTATCTGCGATAGGCCAGCCTCCTGCCAGCCAAGAGACTGGAAAAAGAACAGTCTCTCTGCCCATGGGATAGTTAAGACTGTTGTAAAGATCCGGTCCTCCGCGAGTAGACAAAGCAACCCCCCACCAGTTTCCAGCCGAGTCTTGAAAGAGATCAGCATGGCCAACAGTTTGAAAGTATTCCTTGGTGCTTCTATTGGAAACAAGGGGGTTATGGGGTGCCGCTTCCCAAGGTCCTTTGATGCTCTTAGATCGTGCAATAGTCGCCGAATGATTTAGTTGAGTGCCACCTTCAGCAATCAATAAGTAGTAGTATCCATCCTTCTTGTATACATGGGGGCCTTCGGCATTTGCGCCTCCAGTCCCATTCCAAAGGTCCCAAGGCTCACTGGTATTGCCGGTGGAGAGATCAAGGTAAACTGCCTTGATGGGTGTTCCGGAAGAAGCAACAATAACAGAGCCGTCATCGTCGAAGAAGATGTCTGGATCAATTGTGTCGCCTGGTGTTTCTGGCCATATCGCATCGGACCATGACAGGTCGTCAAATGGGTCCTTTGTAGTGAAGATGACAAACTTTGGTCCTCCGAGCTGGGCACTGACCCAAGTTGAGATCAAGTAGAACGTGCCATTGTTGTAACGTAAAGTACTTGCAAACATGCCAAGGTCTTCACCTTGACTTCCGTTGCGAATCAGAGGGAACTGGGACACCCGGTTGACTGCATTGCTTGCAAGTTTCCAGTCGATAAGATCTTTGCTGGCATAGACAGGATTTCCTGGGAAGGTGATGAATGACGACGTCGTGCAGAACAAAGTCTCATTCCACTCAGGGACAAAAGCACAACTAGGATCTGAGTGCCACCCTGGAATGATTGGATTTGTGTAAGACGTATTTGCCAGAGAGCCTAGGACACCCAACGGGCATGAAACGAAGGATATCAAACGCAGAAACTGCATATTCAAGGCTGAAGAAAGCTTCCTGTCACTTTGATGGCGAAGGATTCTATGAACATGCAGCTGCCGCCTGCTTTATTTCCCAAACAGTTTGATTCCACCCCGGTCTGTGCTAAGAGCTTGAGTAACATTGATTTGCAGATTCTCTCGTTTGCCCGCCCCGCGTTCCCACTTCCCCGCCATAGTCTAAGGCGGACTTTCCGAGATGCGGATATCCCGGGCCTTCCCCGAACTTGCAGCTACGAAGAGGACAACGGTGGGGCCGAACCGAGCCGAACAAGCCCCCGTTGGCTGAATTTATCATTTCAAAGAGCATAGGGGAAAACAGAGTTTTATCGGAAAAGCCTGGAAAGAACTTCAGACTGGGTTCCAGTTTAAAGAGCCTCTGGGAGATAACAAGCTGACCTGGAGCACCTTCTTTGAACAAAATTCGCCCACGTAACATTGATATAGTATTAGTGCAGGTGGTGGCGTCGGGCGCCCAACATCGCCGTCAATGATCCGCGGTTGTGAACTTTGCAGGAGGGAAAGTTGGAAAGATGGAAAATCTAAGAGAAAGAGTCTATTGAGACAGTGAGAGTATTCACTGATACTGTGTATTAATACCGTGAAAACGATATCGAGAACCGCCCGAGCCGCCAGCAAATACAGAACTTTGAAACAAACAAATAGTATTAGTGCGAGCGAAGTCTCTCCAGCTAGCCTCACAAATGTAGACCCTCACTCCAACGTTGAAGGAGTCGGGAGATGAACTCAACAAGGGACTTGGCATAGCAGTTCTGCAGTCTATTGGCCACTTAGTCTTGTTTATGGCATGCCATGATGGAGTTTGGCGATGTGGACCAAAAGACATGCTTAAAGACAGATTTCTGCGCAACATCTAGGGTTCCCTCGCGCTACACTATCAAATTGGCATAAGCTCCTCCGCTTGCCTTTGGCCTGCCAGTCTCATGATGGCTGCATCAGTCATTGTTGTGATGCCGTATCTGCATGTGTTGACGGAAAGGGGGGTTTGATATCATCTACCTATGTAATGTGTGCATCATCTTTTGGAGTCGGTAAACCTCCATATCTGAACTGGCCACGTTTAACCATAAAAGTATTAATGCTATCTCCTGCTGAGCTAGCTACTTCATCCTGGTGACCACAGTGATGTTTCAAGCTAAGTTGTCTTTAGTGACTCAAGTGACGACGGCGAGGGGAATGAGCAGGTTTGTTATGGGCCTGCGGAAACGAAAATGAAGAACCGAGTCTGGACGGAATCTTTAGTAAGGTTGTCTGAGTCGGCGAGGCATAACGTGTCTCAGCTTGATGATGTGTTAGCCCACACCATCCCACCGGAGGCGATCTCCGCAGGATATCTACCGATAGGTAGGTACAGCCGGCATATGATCGACTTGGTCTGGGCTCAGTGGGTTGGACGACCAGCTTGCCGGAATTCCGACCACGCGTCAAGCCGAAAGCGGTAGGGTGATCCGTGTGTAAGCCTCAAATCCTGCTCGCCTCGTCGCTTTCATAGTATTAAGCGTTGAACAGCCGCGGCAAGTTAGTGTGCCGATGTCCTGAGACTCAAACGTCGTTAATAAGCTCTTGCTAGTGCCGGGTCTGCCCTAAATCCAACCTTCTCTAGGCATGCGCTTGGGATAGCCTAGGGCTAAGAATAAGGCCGATGACCCGTCAGCAAGGCTTTCTACGGACAAGCTACCGGAGAGGACTTGATGGACCCCCAATGCACTTTGACTGCTACCTGTGATTTGAGCATAGATTATGCGGTGTCTGTGATGCGTGATGGTGACAGCCGCTCAGACAGTGTTCTTTGGCTGTGCCGTGCTAAAGGCAGCTCTTGGCGATGTACTTCTTGGCAGCGCTTTTTGGACGACGAAGATCATATTGCAAATCATCTAAGGAAATGGTTTTCAGACGATGATCTATGATTGACGCAGGGGTTCCCTAGGGATCCAACCTCAAAACTGACTGTCGGACTTTATTTTCTCTCTGGTCATTCGTTTCTCCATCAGGATGTTTTGTTGAATAACTCATTAGCTAACTTTAAGCCTCCAACGGTGCTAAAACAAAGATGAAAAAGAAGCTTAAGTATTCCGGCGCTAGTCAGGAGTTTCGAGCAAATTACCGCATGTCAAGAGAGCTTAAACTTTCTTTTGTTCCACCTAGCGCGGGGAAGTGGTAGTGCGGACAAAAGGCGGAGGCCGGCCCCGCTGCCCGCGCCTGACAAGACGGGAAGAGCAAGCATCGTGGTTATAGGCTGCCGCAAGCTTCACAAGCTTTCTCCTCTTTTATGCAAGTGTATGGTCTCAAATTGATCCGCGTTTGGCTCTTGCAATGTCCGCGAAGCGAAGGCCGTTTTCTAGATGGTAAAGACATGCACGAGCTTAGATCTACCTGCAGTGACACGGTGAATGAGGCGGACAAGACAAGAGACACTTCGTTTTGCCATGTTCTTACACCATCGTAGAGTTCATACTAGTTGGATGATAATCTGATCGGTGTGTGAACTTGAGACGCAGGGGAATACCGTAGCAGCCCTGGAGTGGTTCCAGCTCCATGCATCCTTCGTCTTGCGTGCATTCTGACTCTCTCAAATTTACCCGAAGCGGTAGTTTGCCAGTTTTGGCTCGAATATAATGAGAGGTTCTAAATACTTTTGTAATGACTGTGGGATAGTCTCGAAGTACGACGTATTCGTTCTAAGGGCCGAGACATAGAACATACAGGTATCGTCTCTCCAGGCACTTGGTGTAAGAACCATAATCGTTCTTCCCATGTTCCTTTTCCCTTCCGTTTCCGCGTATAATCTGACCAGCCTCGCGCTAAACGATACTTACAGTCGAGTCCGATCTATCTTGGCATCTATTGTGGAATGTGACCCGAACATTCAGCATGGTGTAAAAGGTCTTGGCATCTAGGTTCAGCCCAAAACACTTATGCGGCTAAACTTTCTTCGTTTCGACCCCACCCAAAAGCTTGTCACTTGTCAACAGTCGTTTGACTTCAGATGGCTCGCGGGCGTAATTGCTCTCGTATGCGACACAAGAAAAGCTTCCTCTGCTGCAGGGCGAAACGATCACGAAAGCATCACGACTTCGGGCAGAAGAACGTTGTCAATGTATGGTGGCTAGATCCGTCGACATCCCTCGGACGAAGCGCAAATACCTAGGAAATGGGATGATGACTCGCAATAAGCTCTTCCATTGACCGTTGAGTCCAAAACTGAGCGTATATAAGCTGCTCAAAAGTGCCATCACAATCAGTAGTTCTCATCATCATCTCCTTCTCATCTCAGTTCATCGAGTTACAGTCTTGACGGCGTCGACCCTTAATACCTTATTCAAATCATTCATTAATACTACAAAATCGCCAAAATGCGCGTTCCTCAGCTCATCCTCTCTCTCTTCCTCCTCTTCACCTTCGTTGTTGCTCTGCCCGTGCCGGCACCGGTAGACGCACTTGTTGAGCGGGCGCAAAGCGCATCTAAGAAGGGTAGCGCGGCGGGAAGAAAGAAGGAGGCCGCTGGCATCGACAAGAATATTAATATTCAAAAGCAAGAGCAAAAGGACGTCAAGAAGGTCCAAAAGGCCGAGGGCACCAAAGACTTCAAGAAGCAGTCGGGCCAGCTCAACAAGGACATCGCCAAGGGACAGAAGCAACGCGAGAAGAACCAGAAGAACGCGGATCCCAAGAACAAGCAGTTGAATGACGGTCTCAAGAAGGTATGGCAAATGTGTTTTTCATTGTCATCTCGAGCGACCTAGATCTAATTGTTCGTCTCTAGGTTCAAGGTGCACAGGCCAAGGAGGCAAAGCAGGCCAAGGGCCTGAAGGGCAACAACTCTAAGCAAGACCAGGCTACTCTCAAGAAGCTCTCTGGCGAGTTCAAGGGTGGTGAGCAACAGAACAAGAAGAACAAGCAGGCCGTGAGTGTAAACGTCGACTCTTTGAGCAGAAATAAATGCTAACAGGAGACTGTAGGCGCTCAATGGAGGCAAGGGTGGCAAGAAGGGCAACAAGAGGGACATGGAGGAAGCCGAGGAGATTGAGGTGATGGAATAGGAAATACTCTGAAGACCTTCACCGTCAAGACACATGCCACTGTGGCCCAATGTCCTTTGACAAGTTACAATCCACAGGGAAATGGATTATACTGGAAAATTGCTGACATGGACATGTGGGGATGGTACTGAGATCGATGAACTGAGAAAGGAATCTGCCACCAGCCAGAACCATTGCTAATACGAAACATACTCTGCAGTTGCAGTTGACAACCTCGGAGAATAGTTTCATAATGTCCAAGAAAAGCCAAATTCCTAGCCTGGTTGGCGCGCAACGTTCAATGTGAACAAAAGTAGGGGAGCTTCCTCCCTTAATTCCGCAGAACCATAAAAGTGAATATGGCAGAGCATCCATCGACGATGGTAGCACGTCCCCGTTTTGGCCGTGGTTTGAATGTACGGTCCTGTAACGCACTTCTGAAAGTAGATCTACGATGCAAATGTGAGCTGGCCACAGAGACCAGAAGATCTTGACGTTATTCATAGTTCGAAGCTCGGATGCTAAACTTTGAATGCCAGTACGTGTCGGCATGTATTAAGACCGATGGATACCCTAGATTCGCGGACCTTGAAGACCAGAAGACTACACAGGTTACTGATTTGACAGAAACAGCTAAGTGACTTGTACCAAGTCCATCTTTATACGGTCGGTCCGCATAACAAAGTTTTCTGAAATACACGCCATAGATGGGTCATGAAAGAAAACATCTTTGACGAACAGCTCCTCTGAATACGTTCACCAACTCTTTTACCTCCAACACTTACTGCACTTCACAACATAACTAAGTTCCACACGGCATTTCATGCATCTACGGGAAGATACCTTCACAAAAAAGGCAATGGTGGGGATTGCAAAATTACCGCCGGAGGTTATCCAGCATATTTTTGATCAGCTTTCGACTGCGCCATCGTATTCGCACCTGTACTGGGTAGACGCCAGTTTCAAGAGCAAGCTGTCAGATTTGGAGGCACTCAGTCGAACATGTCGAGCTTTTCGACAGCTGGTCAGGCGAAATCTATTCAGCTACGTCTGGCTGGTGAAACCCGGACATAGCCACCTGATTTCTCTCATTAGAGGTTGGGACTCCCGCCCATATTGTACACAACATGTGCGACGTGTGTGCATTCCTATCCACGCTCCAGAGCAATCTCCTCGGCAGCAAGAGATGAGATTGTCAGATGACGAAGTTCTGTTTATTGAAGAGACACTCAGTAAAATGAGGCTTGCAGTTCACCCAAAAGGATGGAACCGTGGCGGCCATTTCAACATACTCGCCATAATGGTTCCTCTCATGGCCAAATCGTTGAGAGAACTTGAGATTGAGTACATCTTGAGTGAAAATCACCGAAACCATGATGTCTCGAACAAACTTCTCCTGATGGAAGATGACGTCTTTCCAAACTTGGAAACCCTACGCATCAAATGCACACCTCACGTGGGACGATTTCCAATGGAGCTTGTCAAAGCTATCTCAAAGAATGCCCCAAAATTAAGATCTCTCAAGATACAGCATTTCGACGACGCATGGTTTGACGGATCGCAAACTTGGGAAAAGCTCACCGATATTTCCATCTGGTCGAGTTTAAACATGCAACCGTTCATCATGGAAATTATCTCGACGCCAAAGCACTTATGTCATTTCGGACTTGACAGATGTGTGTCGAGTGTCAGTCAGATGGTGGATATGATTGACGCGTTGGTCGAGCACAAAGAGACACTTAAAGCTCTAAGTGTCCGGTTCCCCGATCGATCGACTGGAGAAACAGCGAGTCTGCTTCTACACAAGCTCTGTAATCTGGAAACCTTCACGACGCAGTTACAGGACGCCGGCACACAGGACGAAAACATTCTGCGCCAGTTCCCAAAATCTTTACGAAAGCTGCGTATCGTACGAGCACGAGACCGCCACCATAATCATTCTCCATATCGTTATTGGTTGGAGGAGCACCTTCGGAGACTCAGGAAGACGGGCAAATATCGTAATTTGCAAGTGTTTGTTTGTGATACTTGGGAGGAAAAGGAAGGAGAAGAAAAACTCGACTTTGATGGACGAGATGAGGATTCCGTCGAGAAAGGTTATTTGGGAGAGGCAGTCGACTGGCTGTACTTGATGCCGTGATAGATTCAGATCAAAGACTTGATTTCCTTTGAATCCCCAGCAAGGCTTTCTTTGATACAGATATCAATGACAGCGAGTGTACTTCAGTTTTTGTACTTGGTTTTCAGTTCTTGATCTACCAATCACCCCACAGGCGTTTATGATTGAAGTTCAGGGCGATTGATACCTTTAGGATACACGATATAGTTGAGCATTCTAGTTGAGTATTTGCCAGGGCCTCGTAGTCGAACTAAGGTATCAATACATACATAGCTCGGCAATTCATCGTAAAGCCAGGCATATTGCCGCTACTTTGTGAGCCTCCAGCTGTACTTGACGTTTGTCTGATAGTGGAGCCATCAATTGAGACCTCGGAAATCTATTACTTCATTCATTTTATCATGTCTTCGAATTTCTGAACGAGATCCTGATCCAAGGTCAGTTCGATGCTCATAGGGAACGTTACATCTTGGCTTTCCCGAATGTACTTACGTTGAAGTTGCAGGTGCTCATTGTCTCAAACACGGCCTTGTTGTTGTGCAGGCTCATGCTACTGATGCGGGGTGTCCGGATACCGAAAGCCACGCAGGCCATGAATCGGGCATCGTCTTTGGCTGTGCTGTTGGCCAGAGCCTGCCTAGTCTGAAGTGCTGTGGTCTTCGGTTTACCACCTTTGGCCTTGCTCGCCTCTTGTTGACATGCTTCTTTGCATACGGCCAACACCCTTCTCATGGCCTTTTCATCTAAAGGTTTGGGGGTAAATCCCGGTAACCTGACCTGCTGATGTGTTTCGCACCATGTGCAGTGGCCACATTCCTTGACTGAAGAGTGAGTCGTATCGGCAAAGTAAGTTGCAAGCCCACGAGTAAGGCAGCTTTTGCCTGTCAGCAGGTTGACCAGGTCTTGAACGCGCTGCAAATCCTGCTTTTCCTTCTTCACAATTTCCTTGTCTATGTCGTCGATGATTTCGTCAATATCGGCCTGCTGACTTGGGAGTTTCTTGCTGACGCGGAAGACCTTTTGGACACCGGTCTTACTGAGCTTGATGATGCCAGACTCGGCCCACGAGTCTAATTTCCGCGTAATATCAGCGCGACTTACTCTGCCGTTCCCAATAGGAACGTCAACATCGATATTTGTCCAGGTTTGCGCTTTTCTGGAGTGGGATAAGATGTACTTCGATGCTGGTGAGCCGTCGATCTCAAGAGCACGATGCTGCAGCACCTGATATTTATATTCAGAGTACTGAGGAGTGCTAGCCCGGAGAAGGCCGAATTTCAATTCTAGGTAGGCGTAGATGATGGAAAGTTGGGTCTCCTGTCCACCATTAGTTGAGATGAATGCCGACTAAAGTCAAGGAAAATAGATTTGACAAACCCTAATGTCTATCCGCCGTGATTGCGACGTGATAGCCACGGAGAAGGGGTCTCCGGGCTTCAGCTGACAGTTCTCCTTGCTGCAGATCTCCTCAAACAGTGCGCGTAGAGCCAGCATGGATGGTCGTTCGCCATGGATGAAGACGTTTCTGACAAAGAAATCTTTGTCCGAAAGATAGAGCATGCACGTGCTTGGCTTGCCGTCTCGTCCAGCCCTTCCAATCTGTTGGCTATAGGCTTCAAGGCTGCCTGGAAGATCGAAATGGATGATGGTCCGCACGTTCTCCTTGTCGATACCCATGCCAAATGCAATTGTGCCAACAATCTGATAGTAGATGTTAATGTCAGAACTTCCTCCTCCGGAGGCTGTCGGACCAACTCACGATCATGTTTTGACTCTTGAGAAATGTGTCTTGTATTCCGCCCCGTACGTCTGCGTTTAGTCCTCCATGATATGCGCGAGCATTGAACTTCTTTTTAGACAGTTCATTGGCTAGAGTTTCTGCAGCCTGTTCGTATCAAGGTTAGTAAGTTCACCGTTGTGAGGTGAGTAGAAGCTTACCGCATGGGTTGTGACGTATATAATGGATGGGCCGGGGTGTTTCTTCAAGAATTTAGTGCATATCTCGACTTGGTCGTCATCTGTAGTGATAGGCTCGACCAATAATCGGAGACTAGGAGATGTGAGCATGATGCTAACTAAAAGAAGTATTGTGATTGCCTGACTGACTTGGGTCGGTACATGCTTGTCACGAAAAGACCCTCGGGCGGGATGTCGAAAGTAGTTCGAATGTCTTTCGCAACGGCTGCTGTCGCGGTCGCTGTGAGACAGATGACTCTGTCCACATTGGCTTCCTTCGCAAAACGAGCGACTAAGAGCTATCGTCAGTCAGAGCGGAAACAATGGCCGCGTTAGAAACTGACTTTTCAGGTAGTCTGGGCGGAAGGAGTGTCCCCACTGCGATTCTGTCAGATGATGGAATTCGTATTAAGTACTAGTAGGGGGTTTGTGACAATTTGAGACATACTTCTGAAATGCAATGTGCTTCATCAATCGCTAATAAGCGAATGCCACCACGGATTGACTTAAGGGACGCAAGAAAGCCCTCGTTGTTGAGCCGCTCTGGTGCGCAGTATAGGAGATCGAGTTTGCCGCACGCCAGCTTGCTGTGAACATCGACGAACTCTTCGCGACTTTGCGTCGAATCCAGAACGGCTGCAGCGATGCCTCGGCGTCTCAGGGCATCAACTTGGTCCTTCATCAGTGCTATGAGGGGAGAAATGACGACCGTGACACCACTTTCTTCTGGGCTGCGCGATCCTGTTTCCTTGTCGAGCTCCTTTATAGCCACGGCGGGGACCTTTTTATATTAGACAAAAGTAACTATTCTGAGCAGAGCCTCCATACCTGATAGCACAAACTCTTGCCTCCGCCAGTAGGAAATACTACAACAGCGCTGTCGCCACTGATGATGCGATTGATTGCTGCTTCCTGCTCCAGACGAAAGCTTTCCAGGCCGAATCGTTCTCGCAAGACTCTGCGGGCCAGAACCGAGTGATCGGAGGAACCTCTCTGTCGTTTCGGTCCTGGTTCTTCACTCTGATCCGTATCCTCATTAGGTCGCTTGGCTGCAGAGGGAGCAGCGTCCACTACAGCGAGCAGATCGGCTTCATCGGCCGAGTCGAAGCCGAAGTCGTCATCCATTGTCGGCGACAATGGAGGCCACGATGGAATCAATCGTTCGTACAATTAAGGTAGTATAGACCGTGGAATCCCTTGGCGGAGGATGATTGAGGTCGGAATCGATGACGTCCCAATTGGGAAAGTACCTATGCGTGCTGGACTTGCCCGGCAATTACGATTGAAACGCGTCGACGCGTCCTCTGTAGGAGGCCGCATCGCGTGGGTCATGTGACTACCACGCCGAGACCCACTTATGTTCACTCACAATGGAATGAATCTCACCTCATGAATCTCATTTCACAACCCACTCAACGTGTCTCGATGCGCTCGCCAATACTGGTCAAAACTTGCAATAAGCGGTAAAGTTCAATCATTGTGATTCTTTGACGTTATCTTTTCATAAATATCCAGCCAAGCTGGAAGCATTTGTTCCGAGGGCCTGCTGGGGCCTCCGTTCCGTGCCAAGTGTAGGATACTGTACGGGTCGGTCACCCTCACCTACGACTCATCATGGAGACAGTGAAGAAAGTGGACCTTTAAACTGTGGACCAACAGAAGAAGACTTGCCATTATGAGGGAGGGCTTCTTCCCCTTTGCATTCCGTCACGCCTCGGCCGATGTTCCCTAAGGTACCTTAGTAAGTACTTGATGAAGGGCAGTGGATCTCTCGGCTCGGGAAAGGCTGCCGTGGTGTGAAGAGCCAAGCCGAACCGAGATTGTATAGGGCGACGATAGCGGACCGGGAATCTTGAGTTGCGTCCAGCAACCCAGATGAACGAACTCGATCAACCTTATGGTTCACTCTTCTCTTGATTGAAGACCAGGGCCTGGGTGCATGTTACATTCCGATCTGAACCGACCTAAACCAGAGACGTCCTGTCGGGTCGCCGCACTCCCTCAGTCAACAGGTTCATCCTGCTTACATGGGCACAACTTGGTCCTGAGGTTATGGCCAAGAACAGCCAGGTTCCGTCAAGCGCGACTCTATGGCTGGCGTCGATGTGTGAAAATACGAGCACATTGTTTGGACATTAGTCTTGCAAAGAAATGACGCGAGTCTCGCAATCTTGTCCATCATTGTAAAGTACATTGTCTACTAAATCCGGCTGTACCCTATTGGAACCGTGGACCTCTCAATAACGTAGCTGGGGTACACTCAAAGTCATGGATAATGGTAAGTGACGACCTATTTCTAGGCTCTGGTCGATCTGCTCTCTCTTTCTGACATGTAAGCACGCCACCTCGGATTGAGAAGATAGACAGGCACTCCGAGTAGGAAGATGAAGCCAAAGATACCAGCCAACGCACCAAAGGCAGTTTGATACCCCCATTTCTCAACCATTGGAGTCAACCCATAGGTCACACCGAACGAGACCACGTTCTTAGTTCCCACAACCACGACCAGTGCCGGCCCGGGATGTTTGGGCGCGGCTTCAGATGCGAAGCTAGTGGAAATGATAAGAACAGAGGTAAAGGAATACTGGAAGATGGTCCAGCCGATGTATGGACCCCACCATGTGTACCCTCCTGACGCGGTGTAGCCATACAGTAATAGCATTCCCACACCGATGACGGCAGGTAAAGCCAAGACGACCAGGTGGTGTTCCGGGATGTGAACGCCTCGATTCCGACGGGCGAGGTACATGACCAATGGATTGCCGACGAATGTGCAGAACAACATGCCGAGAACGGCGCCAATGACGCCGCCAACATTAATCAACCCAACATCTTCCGACTTCCACTGATAGTTCGTCACCAGAACAGTGTTGTAGGTCAGTGACATGCCAACACCGCAGCCAAGAGCAATGGAAGATGTCAACACCGCATAAATGATTCCCGGGGACGAGAATGATTCCGCCATGTGCTTCCAACTCAAGACCATTACTCGCATTGGTTGGGGATGCGGTGTCGACCAAGGTCTGATGCGCTGTAGATACGACTTTCTCTCCAGAGACTCGGCCGCCTGATCGGCGCCCGGAGCCGTGAGTCCAGACCGATTCATCTCCTCGAGGTAGGCCTGGGCTTCAGAGTCTGGAATGACACGCGTGACACCAAACTCGTCCGTGATGACGACTTGTCCATCGAGCGACTCGGGTTGACGGGTGAACTGTGTTTCAAAGGCGAAAAAGAACGCAATGACCAGTCCGACGGCAACGGTGATAACGAAGACCCAGTAATACCAACGCCATCCCAGGTCATGGTTCAAATATGACGAGGTCAAGTTGATAGTAGAGGATATCGCGTTTTGTGCCATCCAGTAAAGACCAAAGATTTTGGAACGCTCGTGAAGAAAGGTAACTTCAGTGAGCATCAGCGGGAGAAGAGACTCTGAGGCACCCGTAGCCAAGCCTTGAACCACTCGGGCAGCAAGATGCCCGTTATAGCTATTTTGCAAAGCGGCAGCAATTGTCGCTATCAGAAGGATGACCATGAATCCTAAGAATACTGGGCGTCGACCGTATGCCAGAGCAAGAGGAAGGATGATGTAGTTGCCTAATCGTGATGCCTTCGTTAGTTCACTAATCAACCTTTAACGGCAGCTTTTTGAGTCAAGATGGATCTTACCGAGACCAATGCACAAGGTTGGAATAGTAATCAGAAGAACAATGTCTTCGGAAGAATAGCCTTGAGGGCCATACATCGCAAAGAATTCATGCAAAATTGCACCGAGACCACTTGCAATCGACAAACCCATACTAGAGAACCAGCAGCAGCAGAAGACAATGCCGTACTTCTCCCAAGGTCTGAAGCGGAGGGGATCGTTGGGATCCGAAGACGGAATTGGAATCCTGCGAACCTCTCCATCTCGGTTGATGAGAAGTGCGTTGCCTTCGACATGGCCATCGTGTTTGTCCTGCAAGCCCGGCTTGTTGAGGTCTTCGAGATGTTCGATTTGGCTGTTGTGCTTCGCGTCGCCACTGCTTCCGGGAGCCAGAGATGAAGACATCTTGAAGGCCGGTGGAGTTCAAGTGCGTTGAAGATTGTTTAGGTGATCTGAGGTGTTGGTGAAGAAGAGAACACCCGCGGGTCACGACTGCGAGCAACCGTCGCAACTGCAGGGAAATTTGATGCACCCAATGTTGTCTTGATGGTGATGATTGGGGATGGACGTCATGATTCCTGTGTATTCGTCGCGGCTGACAGCCTTGTTATTTCAATATCTTGACCATCGTTGAAGATGTTGACCCGAATGGAAATCCGGGGTAGACATGGGCCACCCCGTTCCCCGGAGTGGGGGGTTGCGAGGTAGTCTTGATTCCCCCGCAATCTCTCTTCGGTTCGGCTGGGAAACAAAGCGCCATTCGGTTCGGGATCTCAAGCTTTTGAAGAGACCACGGCGCGATGAACTAGTACAAAATCAACGTAGCTCGTATCTTCTCTTGACTATTTCTTGTTCATGAATCCACAGACCAGTCGACAGTCTCGGGCTACGACCTCTCAGTATCGACCTCTTCCACTACGATTATTGAGTGACTGTATCCCACCGGGGGCGGGGCCGGAACTGGAAGCCAACAACACATACGGGGCGCGAAGTCCCAGGGTTCCAACATGGTATTCCGGCCAAGTAATTACGGCAGGCGGTCCTTTATTTCTCGGTCTATGGCTAACTCCCAACATATGAATGTTTCCGCCTCAGTGCCTCGGCGCTGACTAGGACTCGATATCAGGGACATGCCATTGGTCCCCCACTCTGAATCCGGTAGGAAAGGGGTCCTCTGGATCCAAGACGACCTGCTTGTAGCTAGTGATCCATGCTCTGCCCTTGATGATTGGTACCACAGCATCAATATCTCCGACTTTGACAGTCCGAGAGATGCGGCACTCGAAGGCTGTGTCAATGACGCTAGTGTGCTTGAAATATTCTCCAACCGCCAGCTGGCCCTTGGCATGCAGCAGAGCCATCCGCGCACTGGTGCCGGTGCCACAAGGGCTGCGATCAAGACGCCCGGGAGACACAACTACAGTGTTCTTGGCGACCTTCCCAATGGTATCTTGGTGAAGCGGCTCTGTGAATTCGAGAACCGAGATGCCCATGATTTCTGGGTTCTCCGGATGATGAGGCGTGTAGGCAGCTTTCAATGCTGACTTGATCCTTTCGCCAAGCTCCACAAGCTTCGCGCCCTTGCTCGGCTCGATGGTCATCCCGACAGATGCCGCATCCACGATAGCGTACCACATTCCGCCCCAGACAATGTCGGCGGAGACGGTCCCGATCCCCGGGACGTCAACCTGCAGATCGAACCGGTCCACGAACGCAGGCACATTTTCAAAAGCCACGGATTTGCATTTACCACCTTGGCACTCCGCAGTCACGCCGACAAGACCAGCCGCCGTATCTAGAGCGAACTTGGTGATTGGCTCTTGCATGGGGATCATCCCTGTCTGCAAGAGTACCGTAGCCGTGCAAATGGTGTTGGATCCGGACATTGGCGCATATTCTTCACTTTCCATAATCAGGAATCCTGCAGCGGCTTCGGGGTTGCATGGCGGGAGGATCAAGTTCGTATTCTTTGGCGATCTTCCTCTCGGCTCATTCAGTAGTAGCTGACGCAGCTCGTCTTTATGCGTCAAAAAGTGTTGTAGTTTGTGCCACATGCTCGGGGCCGGCACATCTAGAACACCGCCGGTGATTACATCGCCAACTTCACCCTCCGCGTGGCATCCGACCACGTTGATAACACGACCGGCGCTCATCCTTCTGTGTCGAACAAGGTTGAAGTGACTGGTGGCTAAGTTTGTACTTCAGGTGGTGCCGTGGAGCTTGCGCTTGAGGTGATATTAGATGACCAAGAAATGATGAGTTGAGATGAATAACAGAAGAATGAGGGTTCTGACCATCTCAGATCAAAATCAACTGTGCTTGATGCTATTTAACAAAATGGCAATGGAGCTCTTGTCACCTACAATGCCCCGCGTTCGCGTGATACCCCGCAGAGCATCGCGGAGACTTGCCCAGTTTCTTAATTTTTGCTCCAGAGATGTTTGCTTGATATGTAAAGCAAACCAATTTAATTCCCAGCAAGTACCAATAATTCGAGGGAGGAGGAGCTAATTGGCTATCAGTGATAGATACACGGGTTATCAAACCGAAACCAAGTGAGACTGCTTTTGGGTTGACGTTCAGCTCTCAAGCTCGTCCACGCGACCGAGGAATTGCTGCCTGCCCTTTTTACTTTCGTAAAGAAATTGAGACGATGTGGATTGGAAAAGCGTCGGTCAGTCATTTTCACCTCTGCCAGTTCAACATGATTTAGAAGTCAGAGCAATCATCTCAATGGCGTACTTCCCATGTCCACGCTCAAGACCTTGGGGGAAACATCTCGAACCCATTAAGCGATGTCATTTGATTGCCGCCATTGGCGGCCCACTCTCGCGCGGTGCCAAGAGAGCCATTCGCTGACAATCGCATAGCTCACAACCGCCAAGGTAAGCATGTTCGTGGCCACGCTTTGAGAGTGGCTTGCAGGCAAACCATCTTCGATCCAATTCCTCATCTTCCATAAATAGGTGTTGTCGAGGTGTGAAGTCCCGGGACGAAACCCGAGACGGCCGGCGTTAGGCGCAGTTTACATGGCGCGCGGGTACTTATCGTGTTGATCTTGCCATCCCCCCTTGAGTACCAGGGCTAACTTTCAGTGCATTTCGACACTTGTTGTCTGGGCCTATTTGATTCATGTGTGGCGAAGTGTTTTCAGATCATATCAAGAGCTCACTAGTGTTTAGCTCGACCGAGGTCAATTGGCCATATTCAAGAGTATCCGCCTACCGCTTGGGTTGAGAGTGGGAGCAGCAAGCTGAGAACAGGGGTCCTTTTCTTCCCTCTAATACAACCCACTTCCGCCACGAGAACCGATGCAGTAGGTCTGCGGATTGCTTCTGCCTAACTAACCCGTCGGCGGGCCGACTCTATGGCGGAGAAAGACAATGATATCATCCTTGAGACATGAGCAGGCGCCCGTGATGCTCAGTGATTTGTCGGTTTGCGATACCATAAGCCCCCACATGTCTATCATCCCTCCCGCATTGGCTACAACGTTGAGTCCTCTAGGGCTGAGGGGATGTTGATCAGCGGTTGTACCTGTTGCCCCCAAGGCGAAGCACAGCATGACAGTCTTTACCCAAATAGGAAAATACTCTGGCCAAGACCTTTTGCCAAGCGAATCGTCTTACCTGGTGTTCTACACTGGGGCTCAAGCAAGGCAACCCGCGCACCCGGAGCATAGGATACTTAAGATATCCAAGCCTATGCGGATGTGGCCTGAGTTGAGAGCCCCCTCCGCAATCAAACCCTCGACCCCTTCGTCCCATCGACTTCTTCTTACTCAATCTGGTAACGCTGGTGCATATTAACCTGTCACTCGGGTAGGGCTGAACTGCACCTTTTGGGACCTGATCCACGCCTCGCAACACAATGTTACCGGCGCCTCAGCCATCATTATCCCCGGAGATTCCAGGGAAACGACGTTGCTGGGAGTGCCAACGTCGTCGACTTGTTTGCGACTCTGTCAAGCCAGTCTGTAACAAGTGTCGTGCTTCCGGCATCGTTTGCCCTGGCTACGACGACAGAAAGCCACTGACTTGGCTCGCACCTGGGAAAATCACCTGCCGTACTCGACGCAAAGGGCGCGTGGCAGACAAAGACACAGCGACGAAGAAGACCATGAAGATAAAGCCAAAGCTGGATAGCCGAGGTAAAATCGAAGGTACCGAAGCCTTGACTAGAAGCAGGAACAAATATGGCGGAGAGCTCGTCCTTCATTCAGCTCTGAGGACAGACATTTGCGACGTATTTGAAGCCGTACAGTATTGTGAGTTGCAACCCACAGAACTTGAAAAAATATTCAGCTGTTACCCAGATTTATCGAACATCTCTAACATCACAATTGTTCAGTCAACGACGTGTTCTACCCATACACCAAGTCAGGCCATCCGCCAACCAGCAACGTGTTCATCGCCGAAATTCCCCTCAAGGTCGTGAAATATCTGCCGATCTCGATTGCGCACAACTTGGTTGGCATCGTGTACCATCATCGCATGCATGTGCAGAAAGAATGGAAGAATGATTGTCCTTCTATATTGTATGCCCAACACCGAATGCACCATCATCGAGGCCTGTCGATACGGGCTATCAACGAAGATCTCGCCAATCCGAAGACGCAGAGTAGCGATGTTGTATTGACAGGGGTCATCCTCCTTCTCCAGTCCGAGGTCAGTCGAAGTCAACAGTGAGGCTTCTTGTCTACAATGATTGCTGACCCAACACCAACAGATCAACGCATGCATAACTCCTCAGTGGCGACAGCATGTAGACGGTCTCCTGGCTATTCTCGCATGTCGAGGCGGTGCCCGGGGATGGGCCATGTCGGAGCCATACCGCCAAGCCTTGCTCCTGTCTTTTATGATGTAAGTCTAGATCCCGTGGGTAAATCAAAGCATTGATGCTGACCTCGACAATGACACAGTGTGATGACTTCGGCGAATACAACGAGTCCACCTGACAACCAAGTTACAATTTGTGATCAACAAGAGTTCATTAATTTGATCCAGGAGATATATCCACTCGGATTGCATCCACACATTCCTTGTCCGATGCCGCTATTCTTGGAAATTTCGCGAATTAACCATCTAAGAGCTGAGGTCTCAAAGAAGTCGATGGACAAGTCAACAGCGAATGCAGTTGCGGAGGACATTGTTGCAAGGATCGAGAGCTTTGATGGGACGGACTGTGACTCCTTCTACGAGGACAGGGATCACCGTGATCTCATCGCTGCGATATTTCACTCTGCAGTGGCTGTCTTCTGCATTTCTTCGCTGCAGAGCGTTGGAGCCCTGCCCAGAGTCCACCGACTGACAATGCTGAGAACCATGCATGGAAATCGCCTCTATTCTCTCATGGAGGAGACAAGAAAACATCCACAACTGAAGAAATCCGTCCAATGGCCTTTAGTTGTCGCTGGCATCGAAGCCTCGGTTCGGGTAGATAAGCGTCGGCTTGTTGCAGAGCTTTACTTGGAGCAAGCCAAGGACATCGCCACGCCATTGCCTCTGCACGCTAAGAATGTTATGCGCACCTTCTGGGACGGAGACGCTACAGATTGGGATGCATGTTTCGACCAGCCCTACGCATTTGTTTCATAGCATGAAGTGGGAACAAGGCTTAAGTTCAGAGGGACAGATAATTGGGAAGGGAACACGATATCATTACTAAGTAGGTAGTGTGATGGCCTTTGCTCAGTTACATCAAAGGAAGAAATGGTACTCTGACAGCAGTAAGCACTTGTATTTGTGTTTTAAGTTGATTAAATGAGTGACAGGTAGTGCCGCTGGCGGCTTAATATTAAGGAAGGTGATGATGCCGCCTGGTCCGGACCCCAACGACAGCTCTATGAACATATTATGTCGTCCAAATGAGTTCAAAGTCTGATTCATATATGTGTACGTTGTCTTGTCTTCAGCCCTAAGAATCAACGGTGTTATTCCCGAAGTTGAAGTCTTCTTCTCTATTCTATTGACCAAGACTTGACTGTTCTCGAATGGGGTGACGTTCCTTATACTCCATCATCAACAAGTTGACGCCTTTACGTTGACCTTGAGGTTGTCCATGGCCGTCAAGATCGTGATAGTGGTTCCTGTAATGGGACTGGTGGTTTCAAAGCTGACGCTCTTGAGATTCTTCTCATTGACAAGGTTGCACTTTGCCAAGCTTGATCCAAGAATGTCGGGATTATATGAGCAGAATTCAGTGATGGTGTTACCGTTCACGTCCACTCCCTTCACGGTGAGCTTGCAAGCCCTCTTCATATTCTCGAGGCCAGTGCGAACACACTGGAAGTCGAACGTCTCCAGCTCAAAGCTCGCTACCTTTGATCCACCGTAGTCTTTGGTGATCAACGGGTTTTCCAGTGTCGAGGCTGTGGTGATGGTGCCGTACACCAGAAACTCGTTCTCGCGGAGGTTGGGGTCGAGCGCCCCACCAACGGACTTGACTCCGAGGCCCGAGTACTTCAGCTGTTTGTAAGGGGTAGGCGGGAACACAGGGTTCAAGATAGGAAAAGCACTCGAGCCAATGTCTTTGTACTGGAGTGTCGGTCAGGAATACAGTTCTTTACCAGGAGAGAGTGACTTACGGTGAGCACGTAAGGGGTGACTTGCTCGCAGCTGTTCCCAGTAGGGGATGCCATGCTACTTCCCAAAAAGAGAATGACAGAGATGATTTGGGCAAGAGGAGCCATGATGGATGGAGTGACAGAGTTGAAGTATCTGATGCTGGTAGTTGGGTCCTAGCTGGTGATGCTGATGGTCATGTTGACAGGAACAAGATGAGAGTGTAAGGACGAGCGAGAAGGCAGTGTCTTTATATTGATTCGTCCAGGGAGATCATATTCCAGAATTCAAAAGTTTCATCTCGTCAATATTAGTCTATTTGCCAGTATCGAACGAAGACATGATCAAGCAAACAACAGTCACGACAGAAGCCTTGATATTGCCGTATGCCGATCATCCGATGTGAAGGCTTTCGATGTTCACGACGCCTGCAGTCACATACTGGGTCTTAGACTTATTGGTAACACAGGCAGTTGTTGCTGCATCATGAATCAGATCGTTAAGTACATGGATAACTAGCCTCAACTTACTACTTCTTGTCTCTTGACTTGCTTCAGTGTGGGCTCCCACCATGAATTCGTTCAACGATGTCAAGGATTTCCGCTCTCTCTATGGTTCTAGTTGAGATATCAGATAGCCCATTAGGTGAATATTCTTTTCCTGGTACTAGATTCAGTGACTGGAGCATAGAAGGCCAAAGCAGGTAAAGTTACTTGTGACACATGCGATCTGAGACGTGTGGCAACGACTGGAACTAACTGCCGTGTTACACTGTTCGACACCAAGGGTTAGCCTGCGAGGCCTAGAACACGAATGGCTTCCTCATCGACGATCGATCTACAGAGCTGGGGAGGCCACTAGCAGCGGTTCCGGGTCATTAGCATATTTCGATTACTCGTAAAGTTTTGGTCTAAGTCTGTATACTTCTGGACTAGGACATCATCGAGATTTCTCCATACTTTTGGTGGACAAGATCTCGACTGCAGACATACCACGTAGACTGGCATACACCTGAGACGGAGGTTAGGTATCTACAACGGAGAAGACCGAGATTGACTGACATCAGAGTCTCAGAATAAAATAAGAAGGGCGAGTGAGATACAGATGATCTCTTGGAGTCCGATTTATTGAAGAATAGTTCATCTATTAACATTCGATGACTTTCCGAAGAAGAAACAAATAGCTGAAAGGAAACAACACAACCGCCCAGGCTATCATGCAACGCTGAACCACATCAACTCTCATACCGCAACACCATCCAGTGACACAAACTAACTCTATACCACTCATGCCGGAGTACATTGGGCGTAGTACGGGTTGGCCGTCTTGCAAGTAGCGCCAGGGACACAAGACGTCGGGCTCTCAGCAGGCCAGTTGATGCCGCCACACTGTCCGTACAGAGACTGAGCTCCCGCAGGTACAGGAGCCGGAGAACATTGCGCGTAGTACGGGTTGATGGTGGTGCAAGTCGCGTAGTCTGGGCACCTGGTCGGACCAGCGTAGTTCATGCCACCGCACTGGCCGTACAAGTTCTGACTCGGTTCTCCTGCGGTTGGTGCCGTCGTGGTCATGGTCTGGAAGGTGGTTGGCGATGGTGTCTGAGACGGTGTTCTCGTGGCGCTGGTTGGAGAGTTGTTGCTGGTGCTGATTTTACTACTTGAGCTAGGGCTTGAGCTAAGGATCGAGCTGGAGCTTGAGCTTGAGGTCGAACTTGTGCGAGTGAGAGTGATAGTCGTCGTAGCAGCAGTAGTAGAAGTTTGGATCAGGGTGGTAGTATCCGAAGTAGAGTTGCCGAAGCTGATTGTGCTTGAAGACCTGCTGCTGACAACAGCAATAACAGAACTTGAAGTTGGGGCACTAGCTGAGGCCGTGATAACTGAGCTTGCACGAATCGTTGTACCGTAAGGGGTAGCACTACCAGATGCCGTGATCTGAATCCTAGATTGAGGGAGCATTGAAACACCACCTGAGATGATGGCACCACCAGGAATGACGTAGTCGTTGAGATTGTCTCGGTAGATGTTGTACAGGATACCGGGGTCGTTGGCGCCATAGAGAGCGGTTCCTGGTACTCCAGCAGGATTATCCGTTCCGGAGCCGGTGATCTCCAGGTTGATGCACTGAGGGTAACTTTGCGCTCCATTCTGCTGGCCGGCACTGTGAAGGGCAATGATGTCGTGACGAAGAACGTAGTGGCCTGGAGCAACATTGGGTGGGATACGGACGGACCAGGCGTTGCCGTTATTGATCAACACGGTTGCTGCCCACTGGTTTGTCTGCTGAGGAGGGTTGATCAAACCTGCGCCGTCAATCTTGAAGAACTTGAGTGCTGTCTTATCGATGGCGTTGCAAGGTCCATTACAGTTTGCCAGGAAGTCCATAACGGGGCCCTTGTGACTGTCAGGCCATTCCGTCCATTGGAGCTGCACAGTATCACCGGCAGCAACTGTGATTCGACCCTTGCCAGACACTGCTTGTCTGTGGCAGATGATGTCCGGAGCATTATAAGCGTCAGGTGCGACAAAGCCGTTGTCGCGTTGATCTATCGTCCAGCCGGCTACGAGAGGAGGGTTGTTGGTGTATGGGTCCTGGACGGGGATGTAGTTGCGGTATGAGACGCCGTTGACGACAATGTTGGTGACATGGCCGTGAGCAGCGACCGAAACAGCAGATGCCAAGATGGCGAGAAGGCCACGTGTCTTACGGTTGCCCATGATATAAAAAGAATGTGAGCCGGCGTTAAAGAACGTCCGAAAGAGGAAGGGATGAGCAACGAATGAAAAGAACGAGTGTGTGTAAACGAAATTAGAAAGAGTGATGATCCTTTCGTTCGGAGTCGACGCTTCGAGAAGCGTTGATCTTGATACTTTATACTCGATGACCCCGCTGAGCACTGAGTTTATTCGCGTGAGATCACCATGTGGGAGCCAGGGATAGGGTGAGTCAAACATTCCAAACATCGGTGTTCCCTCACATGGTCTTATATTTTGCGAAAGGGAGTCTCGCCGTCGTCTCCCTGGCTAGCTGAAAGCTCAAGGCGCGCCATGAGTCCGCCACCGATTCTAGGCTTCTTGGGCGTGCCTCAATGTTGCCCTCTTCTGTCACGACCCATGAGGCACGATGAACTCTCCAACATGATGCCGGAAGTAGGGGCAGCTTGAAGCCCATCACACGCCACGTGGATCAGACTAAGCGCCTCTCCATCAACCTCAAAAGAGAGGCTACTGGCATCAGAGAGGTGGATCAAAGTCCAGATCAAAGTCTAGCCGCCCGTCGCAAACGTCTTGACTCCGTGCCGCCAACTGCGGAACCGGTCCGCGGTTGGAGCAGAAGCTTGAGATCCACGGTCTTCCCGGAATCACGTTTAGCTCCTGGATAAGCGAGTGTTCGATGTGCGGGAGCTAGACGCAGCAAAATCTGCAATCAGGGATGCAAGGGAGAGCGTCCCGAAGAACCCTTTCCCCAGAGCACGTATTCGCAAGTGGAGGTTGGCGGGCAGTGAGAGGCAACCGAACCCAGGTTCCGAGTAGTAAGATATCATGACCGACCAGTGAACAAGACAACTCTGACCTTCCCAATAATTGTGTATGTGCCCTCGAAAAAGCTCAGTCAAGACATATGGGGCAGCTAAATCTGTGCCGTGAAGTCTGAATACACGACGAAACGCTGCTTAATGACTAGCGCCTTTGCCCGACAGTCTAGCCTCCTGTCAAGCTCGATAGCGTGAAGATATGTAACCATTTGTCTTAAAAATGCTCATCGGCGGCTTGTGTGACTCAATCGCGATTCCGCGGGCTTCTTCGGACTTTCTTACTCGATCAACTTGGCAGGGCGGCAAACCCAGGCCATTCCCTCGCCGAGTAAATGGCAGGCTGATTCTGCCCACAGAATCATTGCAAGCTACTGGAGTCGAAGCCACACCTGAAGGTTGTCAGATCATGGTGGAGATGTCTTCAATCTTCATTCCATTTGAGACACTGGGAAAGAAATCAGGAATCACAGCCTCGACATCGTACCTCAAGTAGGACGATACGAGGACGTGGCTGACCCTGACCATGTGAGCTCACGTGAGAAGATGCACTAGGAACAGGCGACAATATGCTATAGAGCACCCCTTGGAATGACAAAGACTTTAACTTGTCAGTCTCCGCCTACTGCTGATCTTATCGGCTCATGGGCACACCACTCGCCCAGTCCACATGTTGCGCATAGTGCAGGGCTCAGTGAGAGTGTCTCTCTGCGAGTCCCTACCGGGGACTGAACTGAGCTGCTGCCTGAATCACTCATCGGCCTTGCGATTGGGCCTATCTCAAACGAGAGAACAAGCAGGCTAAAAGGGGGACAAGCGGACCTTGGCAAAATACTTTGGCCAGTCATGCACGTAAATGGTTGTTTATTGTTCAAAGTAAGACACATCCAATGCCCCATGCTCAGTGATGTTGAAGAATTTCAGGTCACTTCTCCAAATTGGAGGTTAGATTGCTGAACAACGGACGTTTTCATCCAAGAATGGCCCAGCCATGCTCAGCGGGTGCTAACGTTAACGCCTCCTTGAAATTGAAAGCTGGAAAAGAAAACCCCCCCAGCAAGGTGTAGATTGCCTCCGAGAACGGGCTCTAGCTTCCCAATTCCATGGCCTTGTATCGTGACGGTACCTCGAAACAGGCGGTGGCCGGCGTTAGGAGTGCAGCGATGCCATGTGGATGGCCCATGGCACAGGTTTTCGGCGGAGCACTTCCTGGCGGATTGACACGCGGGAGCGTTACGGACCGGGAAAGCAGTGGTACCACCGCTGTTGATGCTGCCTTATTGTTGACAGGTAGTTGAAGTATGCCCCGTTGCCTATGTGGATGGAAACGGCGACGCCTCGAATCCGAACAAGGGGTGGGATGTGATACGATGTTGCCGATGGGCGTATTGGTGATGTGCGTATGTTTGTTTACCAAGGAAAGACACATCAGTGGCGGTAGGTCCTCAATGTTGTCATCTCCGTCTTACACCGCGGGCTTTCGCCCACGACTGGGGTCTCAGCCTTCGATGATGGCAATGTGGAAGAACATGAAGGGCATGAGAACAACCAAGCAAGCATTGCGCATTGTAGAACGCGCGACGCCCAACGCAACATGCTTGAGGATGATGCAGGTGAGGAGTATAGCGTTCAAGGCAGAGCTAACGCGGAAGATTGAAGTACGTGCCATGGTCTTGGTTTGAGGTGAATGGGGAAACTGGGGTGGTTCGCAATACGTGAGAAAGCGAGCAAGAACGAGTTGAGATGTGATGTGTGAGATGATTGCATTGCAACAGGACCGTTTACGAAAGGACAGGCCGCGCTGGTCCCTTTTTGAAGTTTCTGTCTCATCCATCGGACGTCGTCCCCCTTTTGGGCGCCTCCTATGAAAGAAGACCAAGCAGGCGGACCTCCTATTGCAATAAACAACCACGGTAATCCAGGTACGATGACATCCTGTCATCGGACGAGAACCCACGATACCGGCCCTTGTCTGCCTTAGGGTCCATGTCCCCTCGGATCCTGAGGGAGAAGGCTTGCAGTGTGCATGAAGGGCATGTAGACAGCTGCTGGGTAATCTGTGGCGCCCATCTTGCAGACGGGCGCTCGAGCATCCGGTGCCTGAAAGCAGAGGAAGGCTTCGGGGGCTCTGCCTCTGTCACAGGCGCGGAAATATCCTGACATTGACTCATCGGCGTTCCTGGAGGCCGGCGGGGAGAGAAATGCCCAAAATCCTCAGATGACCTGCCACGATGAGCCCCTTGGTGCTACTGACAGCTGCATTTTCCATGCAGGCACCCTGCACGACCTGGTGGATAAATGGGTTGGCACTCTCCTCGAACCCAGTTTCTGGCGTCGTACGAAGAAAGTTCTAGCGAAATCCCACAGATACGGACGTATTTAAGTCTGACGGAGGGGTAACACAACCTTGGAATTCGCACGTAAATTGGGATAAATGGGAGAGTGTGACGAAAAGGACTAATTTTAACGCAGAATGTTCTATTAGGAGTAGTGGCTCGGTGGCCCCTGAGACTATGGAGTTTGGATTCCAGCAGGACGAAATAAAGTACAGAGAGTACAGCGTTTCGATGGTTGGGTTTTCCTTTGCGTCGTCGCTTTGGTCAAAATTTGAAAGGAGGATATCATACCGTATCTCATCATGGTCGTAGAGGAGAGAGTTGTTCAGAGTTTCGAAAGTTTCCGTTCCCCATAACGCCAAGAATCTCGTAGCCCAAGTACACTTCTAGTACAGCAAAATTACATTTGGATGTGTTGTTGTTCGCGCTCGCACTTTGCAGTCGGCCGTTGGTTGGATGTGTTGTTGCATATCGACCGTTGGACGGCTCGCTTGAAAATCCCTTTTCTAGAATTCTCCCTCGGCACTGTTCCCGATGACCCCGGCAGTCCAAAGTCCGACCAGGCCCCACCAGGAGACCTTCCAGCCGCGCCATAGGCCGTCGAGTCCTTGACCCTTACGGTAGACCGTTTCTGCAACCTTTGGCTTGCCGCCCCTGGCTTTCTTTACCGGTGCGGGTGCGGTGGGGATCGCCCGGGTGCCTTCCTCATTCATAATGTAGAGCATGGTTCCGAGAACACCTTTGTAAGGCCCAGCCGGGACAATCGTCTCGAGCTTTTGGTCCTTGCCTGATAGGGCCCGGACGTGTGCGGGGGTGGACAGAACGGCAACTTGCCCGCGCCGGAGAACCGTCTCCAGAGGAAGCTTGACGAACAGTGCCACCGAGGAAGCGCAGAATTTGGCAACTGAGAATGTCGTGGGAGAGACGCGGCTGTCGATAAGGAATCTAGTGCGCAGGACAAGTGGTGTCGACAGGGTGAGGATGGGGTGAATGAGCGAATGGAAGATCGTAGGGATGGCGAGCGAAGAGGGGCAGACGTAGGATGGGAGAGTACGCAGGGTCGAAAGTGTTCTCCTAGATCCCTTTGAATTTGGTGTGACGAGAAGTCTATGCCGGAGTTAGCACTGCTTTGGGATCCGAATGAATACGAAACAGCCAGTGACATACCTTGTGCGCACCAGGTCCAGAGGTGCGAGAATGAGGCCCGTTGCAACAGCCGCAGCAGCGGCAACGCACAGGGAGGCCCACGGATAGGGCGAGGCAATATCAATCAGCCGATCAATATCCTCCTTGACGCCGAGATCTGGCACATTGAACAAGGCGCTCAAAGCACTTCTGGACCAATTTTCCAACAGCGAGGAGAGCACAGAGTATAAAAATGTTGCGTTCGATCCCTTCCACACGCCCCAAGCTCCCTCCTTTTGCCACAGTTGGCCAATAACTTCCATCAACGAGTCGGATCGACGGATTGTGATCTGATGAGCCGGTACGGCCTGCTGCTTCGCTGCTGGCGTCTGTGGAGGCGTTGAGGAGGAGGGAGACTGGCGGCTCCGGTGTTCCCTGGAGTAGGACGGGGTCGGCGTACTCGGGACGTTGGAGGTGAAGTAGGCAGGTTCGTCGAGATCCGAGTCGGAATCGGCTTCCTCATATGCAGCGTTTCCATAGCCAGAACGCTTTCTCTCGGAGACAGGCGTGGCCAGGGGCGTAGGTACTGCTGCCAAAGTCACGTCATCGTGACTTCGGACCTGCAGAATCGTCTTTGCAACCTCGAAAGGCTGGGCCATCAGGACGGAGGTGTACTTCCATAGTAGCTCATCGACGAGGTCCTTGACAGTCTGGACGACTGAAGGAGATGGCTCACTGATATAGTCCTTGTAGTCGATGTCGGAAAAGATGTCGCGTGCTTTAGACGCGTACCGTTCGCTCGTTGCATTGGCTCCATGACGGGCAAAAGGGTTCGGTGCGGATGAGGCAGATGTCGGATCAGGAGGCTCTCCTATAGTCGGCGGCTTGTAGTATGGTCTCAGGGGATTCACCCCTTCTCGATGAGTAGCCATGTTCTCGTTTGGCGTTTGTTTATGGCTCAACTCCCGTGATGCATGATTTCGTGAGCTTTCCACTTTTGCTACCAATTTTGCATGATGAAATGGAAATCACCTCGGAGATAAAGACTAGCGGGGCCAGCACACGACAGTCAACGCGCCTTCCCTGGTGCTCTCTGGTGCTCTTGCTGCTTGGTAACAGCTGAAAAGAACTCCGCTGATGAACCGACCAATGGGATTCGCCCCTTTGAGGATTCTGACGGCAGGAAAGGCCCATGGCACCTTCTCCGTGCCTTAGGTACCTCCGCTGCAGTGGGCCAGGGTCTCCGGAGGCGGAACATTGCGAATCGCCGGCCGATAAGCCCGAGGGGTGGGGGCCTTATCGGAGCTCCTGCAGGCGTCCGAGCCTATAGAATTTTCGCTGAATCCAATGCATCTCCACAGTTCCCTCGCGCATTTATCGAAGCTTTCCAACAACTTTTTGTCATTGCTCGCGGGCACCCACCACCCACGAACCGAGCAAGCCAAACAACTCATCTGACTGCTGAACCCTGGTGTTGCTGTGTACAATTGCCTCACAACTCTGCGTTTTTACTTGTTCTCCTTCCACCGTGCTCCCGAACTCGAGGGTGGCTTCGATCGATTCCCTTGACACTGAGAAGGGCAAGCAATCCCGGCTGTGAAGCCGAGAACGGACTCAAACCCAGCAACCATGTCTTCAACCAGACTCAGCACAAGCCTCCGCAGGATGGCTGCCAGCGCATCCCGACTGGCCCGCCCAGTGCAACGGCAGACCCGAAGCATTCACAACCAGATCACATCCAAGAGGACAACACAGCTTCCCTCCAGACAGCTTCAGTGGCCCTCAGCGCGTGCTTTCTCGGCTTCGGCTGCCCAGGCGCATGGCCACATCACCCCTCCGAAGGCCGGCGAAGAGTGAGACCGTCCACAACAGTCTACCGAGACTTATACTGATAATCTCCCATAGGTTGTGGGTAACATTCGTTGACAAGGACGGAGACGAGTTCAAGATCGCTGTAAGCGAAGGGGATAACCTTCTTGACGTTGCGCAGGACAATGACTTGGAGATGGAGGGTATGTCACAACGCTCTTGGCGGCAACGTCAGGGCATGTAATATGCTAACTGTGTATCTTTAGGTGCTTGCGGAGGCTCTTGCGCTTGCTCAACGTGCCACGTGATCGTTGCCGAAGAGGAATACTACGAGAAGATGCCCGAGCCCGAAGATGACGAGAACGACATGCTCGACCTGGCCTTTGGATTGACCGAGACGAGTCGATTGGGCTGCCAGATAACCATGACAAAGGAGCTAGACGGCCTCAAGATTAAGCTGCCCTCGATGACACGGAACCTTCAGGCCAGCGACTTCAAATAAACAAGCACCCTCTTTCAGCATTGCGGCGTTGGAAGCGGCATACCACACAATTATTTAATCATCTGTACTATATCATACATACACCATGTCAGAAAAGGAAAGGAAAGGACAGGGAGGGTTAGCGGGGAGAAAAAGCTGGGGAGGTGTTCTTCATCAATCAAGCGCGGCATCACGGATGGAATACATCGGCTCGGCTCGGCTTATGCTAGATATTGGCGGGTATCGAGGGACGGTGGGAGGGAATAACGTCACTCCTCTTAAGCTCATAAACCTTGACAAGTCTGGTGGACCAATCTGGTGAACGAAGTGATGAAAAGAAACAGTCACGCCTGTACAAAGGCGTTGCAGAATTTTGGTTTGCCATTGGTATCCTTTTTGAATTAAGCCTCCTCCAATCCGCCCTTCTTCAGGCCTCCTCCTCCGGACGCAATCAAGTCCAAGAATCCCTTCTTACTCATCTCGTTGATCTTCTCCTCCCTCCGCACAACACCCACGACGCCATCCTTGCGCGCCTTCTTCTCCGCCTCAGCAGCCTTGACTTGCGCCGCTCTCACGGCGTTGAAGAGCTTGACAACACCTCTTTGCGCGACCTTGCGCAGCCTCCGCTCCGTCTCAATCATCTCCCCCGTTGACGTCTCCTCCGTCTCCGGCGCCACAAGGACATTGCGCACGCGGCCCTTCTCCATTGCCTCCTTCTTCTGCGCCCTCATCTGCTTGCGCGCCTTGGACTCGAGCGCCTGGTCGACGGCCGCCTGGGCGGACTGGTGGGCCTCCGCACTGCGGGCGAGGACGGGGTCTGATCGTTTCGCGTTGGACAGTTTGGTAGACAGAATTTTCGACATTGACGTTGAGAAGGCAGACGGATCATTGCGTTTAGACTTGATGAAATTGGGATTGCCACCATCGTCGCTCTCGTCTTCTTCTGAGTCGGAATCCGAGTCGGTGCCTACGGGCGCGTCTCTGCTCTTCTTGGGCTTGGGGGCAGGTTTTGCCTTCTGTTTGGGTGCTGCGGGCTTTTCGTCGCCTGAGCTGGCTGAATCATCGTCCGAGGCAGCGCCGTCATCGACAGCCGCGTTATGAATATCATCGTCAGAATCGAGAAGGTTTACCGCATCGAATTCTTGTTCTTCGTTATCGGAGGCGGATTCGGCTTGCTTCTTTTCTTGTCGCTTTTGCTTCTTGGTTGGGGGCGCAAGACGGCCATCATTTGTCCGCTTCTTCGTAGTTGTTCCGGCCATGGTTGTGGAATATGTGTCACAGTCAATTGGTGTTGATGCAGTGTGGTGATTCGGATCCTCGACTTGGCTGGAAAAAGTTCCCCATGCCGTCTTGCAGGGTCAAATTTTTGGGTTCGGCAGGTGGGGCCATCTTCTTATCGTCGGTGTACTTCCTCCGATAAGCCTGTTCTCACCGAGACGCCGAGCGACCCTCACCGAGTCTACCTTGGTCCCACCTGTTACGCCGCAAGACCCACACAGCGGTCGAGCGCCGATGTTCACCGCATAGTGCAGCAAATTCGTCGCATTGATGCGGCACTCACACCGAGGTGAAGGCGCCCTCCCCATCGACAATGTTTGAAAAGTCCACCTAGGCGAATCCTCAAGCAGTCGACATTGTAAAATGATCAACGTCGAAGCCGGCTGCAAGTCAGTATTATCCTGTAGACAACGGCCCAAAGAAGTCACACAGTTCTTTTGGAAGCTTACGCAACTCATTCTCTGTCTGGAGAGCCGCTGACCAAATCATGTTATAAAAAATAACAAAAAAACAGCAGTGACCTAGCTGCCTATCCTCAGACACTATGGATGAAGCGGAAGGGCAAGACCACATTTACTCGGGCAAGTATTGCGGCATGTTGTCATCGTCGGCTTGACTTACCCTCCCAGAGATTTTTCGTACAACTTATTCGTAAAAGTCGGGGAGGTTCGAGCTTCTGACCTTACCATTTCGGGTCCCTGAAGCCGATAGAACACTGGGCACACCAATAGCAACATTGGATGACCCCATGTTTGTCGGCGACGCATGCCATCACCATCTGAAGCCAATGTCACTGATTTACGCCAAACTTTTTGAACAAAAAAAAGACACCAATCTTAAACACAGTTTCGTTTACCTAGCTTGGGCCCGCCCTTACACTGAATCTAGGTTCTTGTCAATTATAGCATGTTTTGTAACGATGGTTCTGTACATCGTAGCCAATCAAATGCCCCTCTACGGAGTCGGAGAGCTTTAGCATCCATTAGACAGAGCGGATCGGGTCAGTCTTAGGTCTCGCTTCCGTTCGACTCAAACTTTATGTTCGGCGAAACTCCTGCTATACATCACGTAGAGGGAAAGCTGTGCTTGCCGAATAGACCGCACTGACGCATCCCGCGTGCTTGCTGACTGGTCCTCCCATCGATCGCTTGTCATGGAAGGGCGTGATCGGTACGCAAGCCATGTTCTCATAGCCATACACCCCCTGGTCTCATCTGTACACAACAGTTCATGACGTTAAACTATGGGAATCCTTATCCACTATTGTATCAAGACCACAAAGCCCTTGGAAAGTGCCCCGATCCTGAGATCCCACAGTACTTCGCCTGCTGGAAGCTTTGATATTCCAAAGAGTTGCGTCGACGATGGATCCAATCTCGGCAGGATATAACTGATGTCTATCCCTGTTTGGCATGCTCTGTACGCTGTCTCAATCAGCCTCGGGGCAAAGCTACCTGTGATGACCACCTCAGTCTAAACATGAATATTTCCAGCCATGAGGCAGGTGGTTCACTCGTGACTATCTCGGATTTGGCTTGGTTCAAGGCCGCTTTGAGTGGAAAATAACAACGTATCGTTTTTCTTGCAAGGTGGATTTGGGCACAGAGGGTCGACTTTCGTCGTCGACAACCATGCTAGAGCCAAGCCTTACAGAACTCGGCTCGAGGCGCCTGGGTTCTGCATATCGAACGAACCATCCAGAACTGAATGATGTAAATGCCTAGTAGCTTCAGGTCGGTGAATACCCCTGAATTATGGATCTGATTCTAAAAAATGAAGACCCTTCTTCGATCCTTTGCGTTCAAGAGGCTTAGGTAGTATGTTGATCACATCAGGCAGGGCACATCAATCTTTATGCTTGCTTCTAATTCCCTCTTGTAAAATGGATTAGGTGGTACCCGTGATTTCCTAAGACTAAGGTACGAGAGGCTAAGGTATGAACTACGACGGCAAACCTCTCCGGTCTACAGTCGGCATGGCTTGCCGTGAGTGCATGACACAGTTCTCCTGCCTGGCAACCAGCTTTGAGCTCGCGTAAAATTGGTGGAGCAATGCGTAAATGTCTGGAACTGTGGCATAAATTGTCTGAGACTACGGAACTGCAGCCGAAGGAGGTCTACATGTACACACCCTAAGAGGTAAGTCTTCTACTCTGGGTAGCTTCCGCCTAGAGCAAAGAGGAACCCCTGTTCGCCCGCCCCCAAACCCGTGCCGGCAGCGGACACTAGGGTGATAATGTCGCTCGAGGTAGGGCGGAACATTGTAGATCTCGGACTCATGGATCACCCAGCCCGACCTTGGAAGTGATATTACAGTGGCTTGAGGTCTCTCACAGGACCGGATCAAAGATTGCTAGACCGCCAACGGTGATGGTGTGATTCCTACAAAAATCTCCCTGACCAAAGGTCTCTCACAGCCTGCCTGTCATTTGATACTTGCTGGTTGGGTTCCGCATCCCCCCCCCCCCCCCCCCCCCCCCCCCCCCCCCCCCCCCCCCCCCCCCCCCTCCCCCCCCCCCCCTCCTTCACTCCCCTCCCCTCTCCCCCTCCACCCACGCTCTTGCTCCGTTTCCTCTCCGTGGTTGTGGCCCCCCCCCCCCCCCCCCCCCCCCCCCAGCGTGCTTTACTCCCTTCTTCGTTCTTCATGAACATACTCGACTTCATGATACCGCTGGAGACCATTTCGTCGCAAAACTTTCGTCCGTCTGATTTGGTCCAAGGCCCCGGCCAATAACACAACAGATGCGTAGACATTTTGACTTTCTCCATCGGTAGGTGGGTGGCTAGCCTTTATTCTTTCTATCCGCCATTTAACTTTAAGCTTTCGGGCTCTACAGGAGTACAGATCACAGACCTTCGGACTCACCACGTTACCGTCTAAACCATCTCGAAACGTAATTACTCCAAGAACAACTGTCGCTTCGACCTTCTGCAGACGCAAGCCCCAAACTCTGTCAGCTCTATCTACACCTTGACGTTTTCATCCGAAACCGATGCCATCTTTCGATCAGCCTTCATCTGCTTCTGAAGCTCCCTGGCCCGTTTTACACCGAACCCGTGGCTGAACACCTCGCGAATATCCTCAAGCGTCATGTTCTTGACCTCGGGGTAGCAGAAATAGATCGAGACCCACCCGAGCACACAGATGGCTGCATAGAATCCAAACGTTCCAGAGGGTGTGGTGTTTTCCATCTGTGTCAAGAAGGTGGAGGCGACGATAATGTTGGAACCCCAGCAGCTCATCGTCAGCATCATGGTGCCCATGGCGCGCACCTCCATCGGGAAGAACTCGCTGCTCAGCCAGGCTGTGTTGCCAATACCCGAGGAGTAGAATCCGACAAAGAACACCATGCTCACGAGAACGATGATGGCCGGCGGTCCAACTGTAGTCCCCTCCGCAAGGGATAGATCATGGTTGACGGGGATCCATTTAAAGGCGATCGCGGCCACAACCAGGAATAGACCCATGAACTGCACTGTGCAGAGTAAAATCCTGCGACGACCGATTCGGTCTACGAGTAACAGGTTGACAAGCGTAAAGATGAAGTTGGTGCCGGCAATGATAGTGCCAACTGCCACAGGGTTACTGAATCCAACAAGGGAGAAAATCTGGTTTGCTATTAATCTATACTCTTTTCAAGGAATTAGGGACTTGGAAACTTGACTTACGGTCGGCGAGAAATACATGAGCGAGTTGAAACCGCTAAGCTGGCTAATGGCCATGAGTCCACACGCCGCAATCAG